CATGACATACTACATGTATGTGTATACAATGCATACACAGCTACATAAATGTCAGTGATACGTGATATACGAGTTATTTAAAATATATCAGAAGACTATTTTCACTCCTTCCAACTATCCTAAGTTTCTCAAAAACTGAAGTTACATGTACATGAAATTAAATGTCAATATCAGAGACAAGCACATCTTTGTTTATCACAATATTACACGATCTTTCACACTGGACAGACTAAAATCAAACTCGTGCAAGAATTGAAAATAGGTTTGATAGTATTTGGAATAATATTACACACATAAAGTATTAATTTGAACAATATCACCGCCAATATACAATATCCCTCATACATGTATACTTGTTAGTTCATCATTTATTAGGGAGCATGGCACAAACAGCCAATTGTAGCTTGAATCAAATTTATAAATTAAATTACATCAATGGTAGTACAGTGGCCACTCGCTAATTTGCGGATGTCAGGATCCTAGCAAAAACGGTGACTTAATTATCAAACTTGCGGTCATACCGAGGTGTCTTGTGAAGGGGGAGACTGGCTTATGCATTGAAAATGAATAAACAACATTACAACATTGAAGTCAACATAGATTGAACTCATTGCAGTGAATTTTATAGAGCTTTATCATAGCGAACCGGTCGTGAAGTACACCTGAGATAAGCAACAACGCAAATGGCAGCCAGTCAGCCATTTTAAATCAAATCATAATGTCTACAACATTCATTTTAAAGTTTCAGACAGTTTCAGATGGTTTTTATTGTTACCCTTACCACATCACTAAATTTGAATTCTTTCACACATTATAGTGCCTGTGTGTACAATGTAAATGTTTTCTGTAAATATGAAGGATTTATATACATTACATTTCAACAAGTCATTGAAAATAACACAGTCCCCGTTAAATTTTTGAAAGTTCTCTTTGTGCTCGTCATATTAAAGCGGAGGGGTTGTTGCGAGTGTGTCCTTGAAAGTTGAGTTCCAAGTGGCGTATACAACAGATTGTTTATTTGCATCAAAACACGTGTTTCGTGAAGTAGTAATATGGCCAAAAATAAAAACAGCTGTTATTCGGCCATCTTTGATCTGATTATGAAACACACTGATATGTATGATGTATGTGCCAAATACAAATGAAAATGGTACATAAATTGTGGAAATATAGTTGTATGGCCAAAAAGTCAGATGGCTGTCAATCAGCCATTCTTGACCAGATTTTGAAACAAATTGTCATGGACATGCATCCTAACATGTATAAAGTACATGTATGTGCCAAATTTGAATGAAAACTGACAGAGCACGTCCAAGATACCGCATAAAAAAACAAACAAGATGGCTGCCAGTCGACCATCTTTAATCCAATTGCGAAATAAATCGTCATGGACATGTATCCTAACATGTATAAACTTTGTACCAAGTTTGAATAACAACTAACAAAGCATGTCCAAAATACAACATTTTCAAAAAACAAGATGGCTGCCAGTCGGCCATTTTCAATCAAATTGCTAAACCACTGCATGTGCATATGTCCCAAATAAGGTACTAGGCACATGCAAAGAATGAACGTAATCGGTCCACAGGATTCTGAAATATGACTCTGGACAGGCTGACGCACTGAAGGACAGACACACGAACGGACGGACAGACAGACTCAGAAACTCATGGACGGTCGAGACATGTATCCTAACATGTATGATCTATGTACTAAGTTTGAATGAAAACTGACAAAGCATGTCCAAAATACAACATTTAAAAAAAAAAGATGGCTGCAAGTCGGCCATTTTGAATCGAATCGTTAAACCACTGCATGTGCATATGTCCCACATAAAGTACTCGGCACATGCAAAGAATGAACGGAATCGGTCCAAGGGGATTCTGAGATATGACTTCGGACGGACACACGATCGCACGGAGACCGGATTATAAGTCCCCGTTTTCGGACTTCTACTGAGTAGAGTAAACTCTGAACTGGAAGACATTAATCTGTGACCATACATACCTTGGGGTATCGGAATATGCACTAGGATCCATGGGATCCAACTCTTCAGACTCGGCTTTTCTTTTATGTTGACCTATGCAATAAAAACACATTCCCAATAACTGACAACAAGTATAAGATAAGTTGGCATGCAATTAAAAACAAAATACTGTAATTAACTAAAATTGTTATTATGAATAAAGGCTAGTATAAAGAAATTATGTGCACAAATTTATGTCATCCAATCACACTGAGAGCAAAATTGTTTTATTGTATAAAGTAAATAATTATAATATACCCCTTTGAATGTTAAAGTATGGTGCACTACGCCCTTTTTCTTTTCTGTCTGAGTCACGGATTGGTCCTCCTTTACTACCCTGTAATAAACAAGCCATGCATGGCACAATCCCAGTTAGTTATCAAATTTAAGATATATAGTTTTGTTTATAGTAATATAGCTGGAATATAACCATGTCAGGAGTATGATTTTTTAACATTAAAATGATTGACATTTGTATCTGATCGTCAAAAAAGTACTTGTCCATATTGAGAGATATTGCTCTGGAACAGCATTCAAAATCAGCCATTTTGATTACATGTATATATATATTAACATGATGTATAATGAATATATAAAATTTGAATATAATCAATCAAAGCATTTAAGAGATATGGCTCTAGAAGCCCAATCATTAAAACAAAATGGCCACCAGTCAACCATTTTGAATCCAATCTGAAAACAAGCAGCCTCTCGGCTGAGATAGCTCCGCTGTTAGCAATGCACATTTCAATTAAAGAACAGAAGATATCATTAGAAAATGAACAATATGCATAGTATCAATGCTATGGGACTTGCTGTTTTCAACAAGAATTCAAAAATATAATTTTTCACCATAAACGATTGTGGTTTTTAACAAGAAGTCGAAAATATCACTTTTTACAAAAATGACAAAAATATTCATCAAAATTAGAGAATTGAAGATATCATCATGAAATGAACAAATTTGAGAGTGGTCCACATGTAGTACATATATATGTAATATCAAAGCAATTGGACTTGCGCTTTTTAACAAGAAGTTGAAAATATCACTTTTTACCAAAATGACAAAAATATTCACCAAAATTAGAAAATTAAAGATATCATTACAAATGAACAACTCTG